TACCAGAGAGCACATGTCACTGGCTGTCTTAAATCTATGCTAGCATTTGAAGGAAGTGTGAAGCACTCTTTAAATTCTTACCGCAATTAATCAGTCCATTACGTTTCCCCTCAGGGAAACAGAACTGTCCTTAATTCCCCATTTCTGTATTCAGATAGAACAATATGGAGATCTGTATTCAAAAAGAGAATCCAAGAGCTGAAGTCCACTGGGCTGAGTTTAAGGAAATTAAGAGTAACTCTCTTGAAATCAAACTACCTGTCTTCCATGTACCCACTGCTAGTGGACAACAGAATACAGTTTAAAAAATGTATCATTTCTAATACAATTTTTTATGTCTAAGGATATAAATCAATATTTGTGCTATACCTGAGGTAGTAACTGCCTAATTTACTTTACTAGCAAACAAAGCAATAAGGTTATCAAAATCTACTAAGTATTTTATCTTGAAGTTTAGTTATTGTTTGCTTAGGACTAGTATAAAAGTCTAACTTCCAATGAAATGGCACCTTTCCTAATATATACATGGTTTCACATATTTTGATGAATAAAAGGTTGTTAAATAACGATATGATCCTGTCCCGAGTATGGGACATCTTCAAATTCGTCTTGGAGTATTGCTTCTCCTGTAAAACTCCTTATTTCCTGCTGTTCTACCATCACATGGTAGATCTTACTGTTTAATTAGTTTAATTGATCCTTGCATGGTGTGATTTTGATGAAATGCCATTCAACAGAAAACATGGTTAGTGTGCGAAAGAGAAAACAGAAGTGAAACAATCAGTTTTGGTGCTGAAGCCTGTCAAGAGATTACTTCTTTGGGTCTCACCAGTTTCGTCAGAGATGGTTTACTCTGTCTTGCAGAGCATAGGGCTGTTTTCATGTCTCGTACAAAAATCCAAGATTCGCCTATTATTCCAAGCTTTCCACCCTGACCACAGAATCCCTTTTTTTTCCCCCCAGTCAAAAGCAGGAGCAAAGACATTCAACACAGACCTTCCCTGTGGTCACGTTTTTGAAACGGCAGCTGGGCAGTGGTGGTGGCAGTGTCCCTGCTCAGCCCAAGCTGGACCGCAGGCTTGAACCCAGGTGTCTCACGCCCCAGCGTATTTTGTGCGTTAGCACCTAGCGCCGTGGTAGCCTCATTGCTGGCAAGGGCTGTCACAAGTATGAAAAAGTAGTAAATAAGCAGCCACTGAGAAAGACATTTCAGCATCTCATGTGCAAATACTACTTAAGGTGTATCTCTGCTTATGGCCAGGGGCTACCCTTATTCTTCAGAAAGAATTGCATTGCAGAAGGAAAAACATGGAAAGAAAGAAATCCCTTGTGTAGAAACTTTGCGTTTTAGGCCCTGAACAAAACTCCTTTGATACAGCAAACTTCAAACTATGACATTTAACAGATTTATGCTGGTTGAGTAACTTAGATCTAAAAGAATCAGGCTAATTTCAGTTATTCAGATTAATTTTTCTTTCTTTGTGGCCACCTGCACAACTTGCTGTGATTCAATGGGCTGTGTCTTCATCTGGATCTCACTGAATGACTCATTTCTGTTTGATGCATTCATCTTGCATCTCCTATCTTCTGAAAACACACAATTAAACGAAACTGTGTGTAATACTTCGGTTCTGTTCTGTTTGTTTAAAAATGCAGCTGACACCACAAATGATATATTCCTGAAGATGAAAAAAATGAAGACCACAGGAATGGCAAATGCTGTCACCTGACAACCAGAAATTTTGCAGTGTCAGATGGGACTGTGCAAAGTTTCGGCTAGGAAGCAATTTGAGGATACTTAACTAAAACTATCCAGTGTATGATGGGCTGAGGGAACGACTCATGTTATTTCATGGCATGCTTGACAAAACACATCTGTGTTGTGAACCTATGGATCAGAACCTTCTTGTATTCCAGCAAGGCGGTCATGACTGCGTTGCACTCAGGTCCCAAGGGTTTTTGGAGAAGAAAACATGAACAGCAAAGCACATGCTGCCAGGGCACTCAACGCCATTGGGCGGTAAGAGATGTTACCGTACAACCACCTGGCTGTGTGGCCAGCCTCTAAAAACCGGACAGTGGCTTTGGGTACTGAACTAGAGAATTCTTAAATGGTTCTTGATTTTCAAAAGGTGTACAGGTTTCATTACAGGATGCTGAAGCTCAGACAAACTACTAGTCACACTCAAACACTCCCTGACCCTGAGGGACTAACATTACAGAGCCTGTTTTGAAACTCTGCCTCACCATTTTACTGCCGTGTAGTTCCAGTTCCCAGATACTTCTCTTAAACACTTTGAATTAAATACACCAGAAATGTACGTAGGCATTCATCTTTTTTTCATTAGCATTCCTCTTGGCCCTCAGATTTCATCCATAGTGCCTCTTCAGCTTACATTATTTAAAACTAGAGATACATGGAGAGGTTTTGACACTCAAAGCAGTCCTCCATGCTCAGATTAGTGGCAAAGATGTCAAAGTGTTTATACTTACAAGATAAAAACATGTACCTATTTATTGGGTTTTGTTGTTCAGGAGACACTGAAGAAATCCTGCAATTTGACTCACCTAATATCAACTGCTCACACGACCTTTTGCAAGCTGTTTCTTTATCAAGAGGATTATCAGTCATGATTTATGGACTGGTAACTAGTAAGAAATCTACATAACTCTTTGTAACTGCAAGAAAAATACTCGGATGCAAAGAGTTTAGAACCACTGTCATTTTCGCTGCAGACCATGGTTTTTATAGCATCACTTTGGACTGATCCCAGAAGGGCTTATCGTACAAATTATTTAACTTATCTTTGTGGACTCAGAAAGCTAAAAAACCCCCAACACATGTCCTGGGATGCCATGTAAACTGTATGTCATCCTTTCAGGCACATTTTCATTGAGCAAGCTTTTTTATTTTGGCTGATTCATCAAACCCTTTGAGTAGGATTCACAGCACTACATAAACATTAAACACCTCCTTAGGTACTGGAAAACGGCAGTCTCAACATGCCTGAGGGTAGCAATTTTCTTGGAAGTAAGTTTCTTAGGGCACAACTGGAATTGCATTTGAAATACTTTTGTCTCACCCAGCGTCAATCTTCACAAACACGCCAAAATAACCGTAGTCTTGTTCAACCATCAGTCACTTCTCCCATCCCAGCAGGAAGAATTCCTGGAAATATTTTAGGACTCTACAGCATGGAAGCTGCTTCTGAGTTTGCCCAGCTCTTGGAGGTTATTACTACCGTGCAAGGTTTGCCAAGAACTAACAGGGTTTTGTTTCTGTGGTTTTGCAAGCATTTTGGTGAGGGCAATAAGCCATCAGAGAAACTGGTGATTCCAGCACACAGCCATCCTCATTCATACTTAGTAACTCCTATAAGAAAGGCCTCCACAAAACTCTTAGTTGCATCACTCTTGTGTTTCAGTCACTGACAGAAAGTATCTAAAAATACCAGAAAACCTAACTCTTGAAATACACAATCACAACTTAACTGTCCAAGAGTGGTAAGCAATCAACAGCCAGATCCTTTGCAAGCCAATTCCTTATCTACAGCATTACCAGTACTATAAAGACTGGTTACATTTCTTTCAAAACACACTGCCTTTTGAACAGTTGACACCATGTGTTCACAGACAAACTTAATGGGTACAGAATTATGTAGGAGAGACAGAGTTGCACTGAATTGTGAGCACCTAGATTGCTTTCTTCTTAGAGCAAGGCAACCCAGCTTAATTCTAGGAAATACCTCTGATAATGAAACTGGTAGTTATAAATTCCACATACAAATCAAAGTACGATGCAAAATACTGCATAGTTACCAATCTGTATAACATTTGATGTTACAATTGGCATTCTTGATTCAAGACAGCATCAGTTCTGTGCAGAACTCCTTCTCCGATGGAGACAGCATGTATGGTTGTAAGACGCATCAAGCCCTTGTTTTGTGCTCTGGAAAGCCCAACTTCACCGTCCCAATCTCAAACCAGAGGGTTAACTGCAAAAGCTGAGTACACATTCTCCTCTCAGTACTGAACAACTGAATTGACTCTTCATCTGATCACTGGCAGCAAATACCATCTACTCCCGCCTGGATGTGTCATGCGGGGGATAAACTATCTTTTTTGCCAGTGGCTTAACTGCTTCCCTACTTTTAAACCAGTTTCCTCTACCACTGATGAGATCTCCTCTCAGATTTCTTGCACGCCTCACTGTCTTTCTTCCCACACTCTCACCCTTTTTTTGCCAAGGTCCCTTTTGTTGTCTTGCTCATCTCTGGATCCAATTAGGGCAATTTTTCCAAATGAGACAAGATTAGGAAATAGAAACAGGAGAACTATAATCTCTCCCACAAGTTGAGACAGTGAAATAAGGAAATAATTAAAGTACTAGCAACCTGCCTAATGTGTCAGGAACTCCTCTTTGGCTTCAGGATGTCTTGTCCTCTTTGCTCCATTAGCACTGGAAATAAAGCACAACAAAATACTCCTAGCGCTGATTGCTGCTGGACTGAACCAGGTGAATTTGAAGCATCAAGAACTGGCTAAATACAAGCTGCAAATTACTTCCCTTTAAATTCCAGGAGCAGGCAAGCAGCTGCGTGTGCAGTAACACTGCTCAGCTCAACGCACTGAAGGTAACACCACATGCTCGTTTATGATCTACAAGAACAGTAACAGATCCCTCTGGCTACATTTAACAACAACTGTTGAAACTGTTTGTTGTACTCGTAGTATCACAAACATGCTATGTTAGACTTCTGCCATCGTTTGGAACTGACAAGATTTTGAGAAATCAAGTAAGCTACAAGCAGATTCATGTTTAAGGCCCAGTGTCCTGAATCACAGCTGTAACTGCATGATGAAAGGTAACTAATGCTCCCGCAGCAGAACTTCAGGAAGTCCCAAGACTAAATGGAAATGGAAGAAAGGAATTTGATATTTGAAATCAAAGGGGAAATACATGGCTATGAAATATTTCTAAGAAAAAGTTTCCATCTTTACCTTGAAATACACATTTTTATTCCACTATTTAATTAGCTTTATGGCCAGTTCCTTGGAAATGAAATGTCAATCAAGTAAACAGTTCACATTTTCAAAACAAGCATGTACCAGGATGTATCCTAATGATTGTGCTAAACCTGGCAATTTTGCTATCATCATACTTTCCTTTTTTAGTCTACGTAATAAATTACTTTGTACCATACAGCTTTCATTCTTCTATTTTCTTCAAACACAACCGTTGTACTCACGATGGATTTTAACAAGTTCCCACGCTCAAGATATTCTCCTAAAAAAAATATTTGTCAGGTCACACACCACCATGGAAAATGTAAGAACAATAGTAACACTGTTGCCATCCTTATAGACTACCCTCCTGTTAAGTCAACAACCTCTCTGAATGTTGTTAAGGATGGAGGGCCAAAGGTAGCTCTTGGCCAAGCAAGAGCAATTCTGTTGACTTCAAAAGGAATGCATCCGTCCTGTGAGATTTCTTTTGTATAAAAGCTTCCTTGAAAGGCTGATGAAAAATAAGCTTTCCACCTATTCTAGATTCTCAAAAGGGACAATTTATCCTTTATCACTGGGCAAAAACGAATTTTCCAAAGTATTAATGAATTTCTGTCTCATCCATGCTTTGAAGTTTTGATACCATTCTATAAGCTTTTCTCTTCTTTGAATCTTTTCTTGTAAGCTCATTTTTTTTTCTTTCTCTAAAACAGCAGGAAGCTCTTTCCAGTTTTTAATAAAGATAAATGGAGCCCCCATTGTTTTTAATAATTGTAAAGGAGCACCGTGGTACACTGATGAATTTCCACAATCACCCGGTGTCATTACATCTTCTATAACAGGCAGAGATCCATATGAACAAGCTTCATAAATTCTATAGCATTCTGTATTTATTCCCACCGGGCACAATGTCAAATCGCTTTGCAGCAAGGCATCTTGATAGCTTTTGAAACTTTCATTTGTTTCTTGAGGCTGCCACCTAGGAAAGGAAAGGGGTTGAAAATTAACATTTTTCCCACAGGCACTGCAATAAAAAACAGAGATATGCTTTAAATTCAATTATTAATAAAGCAGAAAATTCTGTCAATGTAAGAATTTTGTATTACACACACAATCAATAGGCTTTTGCTTTGAGTCTTAACTATTCTTAATGAGTCTTCAATAAAAATTTATTGAAAATGTCACTGTAAAAAATAAATTGAAACACTTCTGAGATACGGTCCTTTTAGGAAATTATTAATACTTAGAAGAGGCAATTTAAATGCCATTTTAAATCTTCTGCATGACTTGGATGACGCATATGTCAATTCACTTCACAGCACAGTTTAGAAAGAGACATACAGGGAGACACTCAGACTTTTTAATGGGTTTTTTTGGCCTCAAATAATTTAAATCTGTAGAGGTTTGCTCTTCAGAAGTTAGGATGTAAACCAAACTGTTAAAGTGAATCCATCTGCCTGAAGTGCCTCAGAACATCTGTGAGATAAGAGTTTATGTCATAGATATAATCCATCTCCTGTGATTATTCAGCAGGGTAGCTGATGCCTTCCTAAGCACTGCTGTGCCTCAAACACTGTACAGGCTCTGCTTGGCAAAATTAAGAAATGCACTTCCTGTTAGTCAAAACATCTGTTCCACCTACCTGAAAAAAAAACCCCACCAAAACCCAAGAGCCATGCTGTACAGATTAAATCCACTCTCTTAGAGAGAAGACAACAAAATACAGCTTTTTCTTCTACTAAAGACATTAATATACACAAGGTGCAAGACAACTATTTCTTCTCCCACCATAATCAAATGTATTTTAAAAAAAAAAAGGTATTTATAAGTAGTAAACATAGGAGATTTTTCTACATATTTAAAAATATGCTTTATGTAAAATATAGCACAGAAAGGCCATTATGTAATGAAGGCCTCTACAAAGAGTCCTTGCAATACTCTCTGTTTCAGTAATGACTGGTCACCTTTATTTGAACTATTTTTTAACACTCAAGAAAGGATTGATAACAATGAACCAGGCAAAAAAGTCTGAATAATTTCACAAAGTAAATCAAGGACTTACTGTTCTCTGGCTGCAATCCAGCAAAGTTTGTCAAGCCCATCCTGCTTCAGAATCTCCATTAGGGTTTCCCTGGAAGAGTTCTTATAAACTGTTCCTAAGAAATTACACATATATGACCTTGGATCATGTAGCATTGACCAGCTGGGTTCTACAACTGGAAAATTTCTGTAGCTGCAAACACAATGTATACATTAGAAAACTGTGTATGTTTTATGTCAAAGAAAAAACATTTTGCATCATTTAATCTTTACTGCAGCTGATTCTAAGACTAAAAACACCTATTTGTTGCCAATCCACATCTATCAACACAGACAGATCCGCAAACCAACCAGTTTAAGTCCTGCCCTAAAAGTTGGTCTTTATTCCCTCTGCCCCCATCACTCTCTTCAGAGACTTCCCAGAATACTTCTGTCTTCTTTCAACATCAGAGATGCTATGTGTGCATGTTACAAAATGTCCCTGAGAAACATGCTAATTGGAGCGAGTCCAGAGGAGGCCTCGGAGATGATCAGAGGGCTAGGGCTGGAGCACCTCTCCTATGAAGGAAGGCTGAGAGAGTTGGGCTTGTTCAGCCTGGAGAAGAGAAGGCTCTGGGGAGACCTTATTGCAGCCTTCCAGTACCTGAAGGGGCTACAAGGAAGCTGGGGGGGACTTTTTACAAGGGCCTGTAGTGACAGGACCAGGAGTAACGGGTACAAATTGAAAACAGGGAGGTTTAGATTAGATATCAGGAAGAAATTCTTCACAGAGAGGGTGGTGAGGCACTGGAATAGGTTGCCCAGAGATGTTGTGGATGCCCCATCCCTGGCTGTCTTCAAGGCCAGGCCGGATGTGGCTTTGAGCAACCTCGTCTAGTGGAAGGGGTCCCTGCCCATAGTAGGGGGGGTGGAACGAGATGATCTTTAAGGTCCCTTCCAACCCAAACCACTCTGTGATTCCATGATTCTGATACCCGATCTATCTTTCTCCAAGCAGCTTTGCACCTCAGTTTACTGTTAGAACTGTTGTTTCTTTCTGTTATGTCACCTTAATCTTTGCATCTCAAAACTCAACTTCTTATTGCTTGGGAGTTTCTAATGCCGTCAATTTTCTGACACTATCAAGAACCCTAATTTAGTGTATTTTAATGACATTGTGAGCAAGTTCAAGCTATGCATAAAAACTCCATACAGTTTTCTAACTGGCTCAATACAGGATATTAAATTCATAAAAACCAAAAGATATTAAAATAATCCTGTATTCTTTCCATCTTCTGTTACCATACGTAGCTAAAACACTATTAACTTTGGTAATAAGGAATAAAAATGCATCTACCTGTACGAAACCTTTATCTACTTCACATAAATAGTTTGAGTAGTAAGTACAACAAATATATTTTTGTGGGTAAGCAGTTAAGCCAGCTTACATTACTGTGGTAATTCCAAATGAGAGGTATACAATTTCATTTTGAGTGCCATAACAGGGTTTTAAAAACGTACCACCAGTACTATCCCTTTCTTTTCCTAAAGAAGCAGTAGTTGGAACTTAATTATATAAGTATCTTCTAAATCTCCATGTCACTGGTGCATATTACATCAGCAGTTATGATCAATTTCAGAAGCAAATCTACTGAGGAAAAAAAATCCAAACCAATCCAAAAAACAAACCAAAGAGAAACCCTCACCAGACGCAGGTTCATTTTTTTTAAAGCTTCCTAAATCCTAGCATTCTTTTCCTGTATTGTTTTTATTGCTAAATGCAATTTCCAACAATTCCAATGCTTGAATCAGAAAAATCATTAATAGGATAATGTTCTGCAATTTACTTATTATAACTGTTCTGGGTATCAGCAGTAACATTCAGATGTATTTTCCATACCTCATGCATAGCAATTAAGTTTCAATTATAATTTGTGTCTAAACACTTACGTAGCTACTCCTAAAGGCCAGTGGAAAATATCTTCTTCATTTACCAACGTATAGTCATATGTAAGAAAGAGTAGATTTACAAATCCTCCATTTCTTCTGAGGTATGGTTGAATCCATTCATTGTTGCACTGCTCGTTGCCAAGCAGTACAACTGCTACACGCCGTATTTTGCGAGTCTGAATTAATGCCTGCGTGTAATGCAACCACTGAGTGGCGTAAGCGATCTTTGCTTTTTCTCTTCCATTCAGGACCAGCACAACATTTTCAGCTTCAACTGAGAAGTAGCCAGGAACTACAGATGGACCAGTGATGAAGCTGTGAAAACCAAAATACAAAGAGAAAACATCCTTAGGACAAATTATTGACCTCAATCCTCTAAACATCCTTACTACACAGTCTGTACTCCAGAGAGTATTTGTTTTTTCAATAAAGGAAGTGCAATGTATTGCAAAGTAACTGTGCAACTGTAACCATGTCTGCTGTTAGTATCTACAGCTTAACACAGGAAAGCTGCCTTCATCTTTATTCAGAGAAAAGGAGATCTATACTTAAATGAAAACAAGGTATTTTGTCAATAAATCAGAACTACTACCATATTCAAATGTCAAAATTCGGGTAAATCAATCAACTTTTGAAAAAGAATGCATTTTGATGTTTACTAAAGGTGTTTCTTAATTCCAGTAATAACCAACAAGTGCTGTCTCAGAACAAGGCCCTCCCAAAAATCTCTAATAAGAAAATCTTATAACCAGCGAGCAGCCAAAATCATGTACTGATTCTTCCTCACAAAAAAATACAAAATAGTATTTCCAATTTCAGTACAAAGTAGAACATCAGTGATTTCATTTCAGAATCCTAATTGTTAAAATAGCAGTTATAGTTGCATATTTTCTACACTTTATGCAACAAGTTCCTAATAGCCCATCAAATTTTAACCTCTGTTATGATGGTACCCATCTATGTATTTTTACAGCATATGGCATTCAAGTTGAAGTTAAAATAAAGACTCTATTAACCCTGGTTCCTCTAAACATAACAAGAACATATTTAAATGCCAGTATAGAGGTCTGTCTTTTGAGAGATTCTTGAAAGAACCATGCAATGTTATTATTCATCTGGAACAGCCACACCAGAGAGAAAATAACCTTAATCAGTCAAGTGACACACTTACTAAGTGCAGCAAATTATTTTCATATTATAAACATGAAAAAGCAAGGGCTTGAAAAGAGTCCTCATGTCCATACCAAGAAGACAATCTATCTGGTAGAGTGTCATTGATTTCTATAGCTTCTGCGTTTCTAATTCTGATAACAAAAAAAGTCCCTTTGCACCAAGATAACACTACAGGCACTGCTCTCTAGTCAAAGGAAGCATTCTATCCTTTCTCACATTCTGTGAATGGAAAGCTCTACTGCTCTGTCAAGGAGGTTACCAAGAGGTAGTAGCATCATTCACAGCCGACTCCCTAATTTGTAGGATCTGCTTATGTCTGAAGCCAAGGAATACAGCTATTTCTTAAAAAGATTATGTAATTTCATTTATTTCCTTAGATGTGAGACAGACTCTTTAATAACTGCTATGTTTGAATCAAGCCTATGTGTCTTTCTAGAAAACATATTTTAGTCACTTATGAATGTGATATAGGCATTACTAAAAGGATTCTGTGGCCTGTACCATAGTCAGATCCACTGATAAAGTGATAAAAAGACTTTTGTGAGCACTTAAAAAAACCCTTTCAATTCACAATCACATATTTACTTCAAACATTTTCTGCAAAATTCTGCAAATTTCAACCCTGTCTTGTTGAGTGAGGAAAAAACACCTTTCTGAAGCAATACATTTTTCAGAAGTTAAATTCACTTAAGCATGTCATTTATGCTTTAAAACAATTTTTTTTTAACAGATGGGTCCTGGTGCAAGTGACTAAATGTTGCAGCAGAGCTACTCATGCAGACTTACAAACCAGCCATAGATGAAAAAAACACATTATGGTTTTGATACAATACCATTTATGAATGGATGAGTGAAGTCCCTTTTCCCTGAATACAACAGAAACCAAATAGCAGGAAAGCTTCCTCACAACTCCATGCTTCTTTCAGTCAGCTATAAGCCCCAGACCCCAGTTCCTAGACTTCCTCAGGGTTCTATTTCCCCTCCCTCCCGATCTCTCTTGGCTGCCCCCCTCTCAGCATGTCTTTCCACATTTCAAATACAGAAACCTTCATAAAAGAGGAAATGGAATTGCTCGCTAGTTTTCTATTTTTTAATAGTGTCATTTTTTGGGCTAGAATTTGCTGGTTTTATCAGGTATATGTCTCCATGAATAAACGTAACTTTCTTGGTGATAATTTTGAATGAGAAGTTAACTGCATAGTCCATACTTACCAAAACACAACAAAATCAAAGCATTTGCAACTGGCATTAAAATAACTGCAACTTTGAGACAGACAAAATAATGCACCCGTGCATCTTACACGTTCTTTAACTGTCCAATGCATCGTTTGTTAAAGCTAATGCAACTGAAGTCAACATCATGCAGCTCGTACCTGAAATATGTTTTCCCTGCTTTTTGGCTTCCTTCTCTCCACTGTGCAGTCACATCAGGAGGCTCAAGGTGCCCTCCAAAAATATGTTGCCAAAGATAAAGACCTACATAAACGAAGATATGATGGAGAATCTGAATGCATGGATCTTGCCGAGTCTACACTCGTAGCAAATAAAAGCATCTCTTGGAAATAAAAAATCATAACAACATAAGAACTTGGGAAAGAAATGTCACAGCTTCTTATATAATATGAACATTGCTTCCCAAATTCCATATGACTTTGAATTAGTGAAGATGAGTTTTTAACACATCAGGGCATTTAAAAAGATTATTTGGATGTCAAAATATCAGTAGATGAAGATACACCACAGTACCACTTCCACTGTAATATACCAACATGTACAATGCTAAGTGAAACTTCAACTAGAGCTGGAAATTTTACATTTTCAAAAAAGCTAAAATAACAACAATTATATGTCTTCTGCAGTAGTTAAAGAGCTTGAGAGGACACTGGCCCCCTGTTTTGGTAGAGAGAAAACTCAGTGTCTTCTACAACAGAAGAATTTCCAAGTTCATCAGTGGTAGCAGTACTGCAGTACAAAAAATAGCTTATTTCTCACTATGCGATGCTTTATTTCACAAAGTGTAAATGTGACAAAAACTATGTATCTTGGTTTAGCTAATTAAGAGGCCTGTCTCTGTGTTGTATTGTAAGCTAGACTGGATTCATACAGTAACTGTGTTTCTCTGTCATTTGAACCATTTCCTTTCACAGATGTGAAAACCAGCCTTGAAAAGAACTGATATAAAGAAACTGGAGTCTAATTACTCTTATATAGGTATTTACATAAATTTGAGTAACAGCTAACATTTCCTTAACACTCTTCATGTAGAGATATCCATATTATTTCATCATATAGATACATTTTAGTAATTAAAAAAAACCCCATACCAACAACAGAGAAAAGGCCTGTATCAGAAAGGTTAAGTGATTAATAGACATTGATCACATCTGCTTACCAATCGCTGCTTTGCCCCAAATCTGTACTCTAAGACTGCTTTGTTCTAGGTGAGATCTTGTTTTTTTAATCATCTTAAGAACAGCTTCATATCTCTGCTGAGCAGCAAACAGTTCATTTTTCTCATCCTCTTCCCATGGATTCCACTCTTCATTTCCCAAGGCAACACGATCTAAGAAACGCCAAAGCATAATTTACATAAAAGGAACCGTTTACAAGTTTAGAAAACTGACTTACTGTCTTGAATTCCGCATTTCGAGCAACATCTGAAAACCCTCCCACCGCCCCGGAACGGGTACACCTCCGCCTCCGCTGGGCCCGCTGCCTCCTAAGACACTGGGCCAATGGCTACTGTCAGCGCAGGGCCAGC